TTAACCCAATGTTATCATCAAACGGAAGTGGACACAAATTTCGTACCGCCCGGTTATACTCGCCCGTCATCGTTTTCACCAACGCCGTGCGAATCACTCCGTCCTCTCCGTGGCGGACCGACAGTACCCGTCCTATCTTCCAATTTAGTGGCCTAAGATTCTCATCGCGCATCAAGACGATTGTCCCGATATCCAGGGTAGGGCCCCTCTCCACTGACCATTTTTTTCTTAYTTGTAATTGATTTAAATATTCGTGGCTCCATCGTTTCCACAGAATTTGCGTGTATTGTCGAACACGACGCCACCGGTCTAACCGATTCGCCGGTATCGTACTTWCATCCCTTTCCGGTACGGCCATCAGAGATTCTCCAATTAGGAAATGGGCAGGAGTAAGATATGTTAGGYCGGAAGGATCCGACGACATTTCGGTTAAGGGACGGGAATTAAGGCATGCTTCTACCCGGGTTAGTATAGTATTTAATTCTTCATACGTTAAATGCGACTCGCTTAGCACTYTACCTATAAGATTTTTCATCGACTTCACTGAAGCCTCCCATAGACCCCCAAAATGCGGTTACCGCGGGGGAATGAATCGCCATTCTATACCATCATTAGCCGTTTGTTTTTGTATTTCACTATTCTGTTCTKTAGATTGAAATAAATTATAAATTTCTTTTAAATATCGATTCGCGCCCACGAAGTTCGTAGCGTTATCTGAGTAGATTACCGAGCTTTTACCWCTTCTATCAAAAAATCTATTTAAAGCGTTTAAAAATGCTTTTGTACTCAGGTCAATAACTAACTCTATGTGAACAGCTTTGGTAGCAAAACACACGAAAATACACACGTAACCTTTTGTCAATGATGCTYTCTTTTTWAAACTGTCTTTAATTAGTAACGGTCCCGCGAAATCGATACCACTTATTTTAAAAGGACGTGATGGTTCTATACGTTCACGCGGTARATCGCCCATTATGGGTTCAACGAACGCCGGCTTTTGCTTGAAACATGTAATACATTTATGAACTGTTGCTCGGGCAATATTTCGTGCTTTAGTAGGCCAATAGTACAATCGCACTAATGCTAATATCGCCAATGGGCCTCCGTGCATACACCTTATGTGTTCACGCTGAAATAACAATTTCGTGTAAATACTGTCACCTGGTATAATAATAGGCTG